TATATAAATCTCTGGATTTTCGAGTATTTTTCTTAACTTTTCCCTTGACCTTCGTGAATGGAACCATTTTCTGCTGAAAAGTTTGTATTTTAATCTTCAAAATAAAGCGTACTTTTCCCCTCACTCTACCTCACTCTCTACCCCCATTACTGGGCCCCAGCCATCGTCCGAATCAGACAGTGAACTTGTATGGGTAATGTGCACAGCTGCACAGTAAAGTACTGATAGCACACACCAAGGCTTCACTCACGCATACAGGCAAAATTTGTGCACGTGTATATGTTACTCACAATTTTATAGTAACAGATTTTATGTTGGATATTTTATGTCTACTGTTTTCAATAGGGTCTTCAAGGGCATTGCCCATAACCCAAAATATACTGCACTATACTGAACTATTTAATGACCTCATCCACGCGTACTACGTTCAGGTCTTGCCTTCTAAATAGCAGCGCCGGACTTTCATTAAGATGAGGATTGAGTGGTTCGTATCTTACAGACACGATAAAACGGATTCTGACTCCAGGGCGCCAGTCGAATAGCCGCAGAAACACACCTTCGACTGACTGCCATTATGCCATTAACTGAGCAGGTGCTTTGAGAGGTGACTCAAACAAAATTAAACTGACTTACCGGATCTTCTCGAGGGTTTTGACTTGGTAGCTCTGATTCCTCACGTAGGTGATGTAATAGGTGAGCTTCTTTTCTGAGTAGTCGAACAGGATGTCACAAATGCTCTTCATTGTTGGATCCGCTTCAAAAAGATCTTCCAGATCAAGTAGCAACCTTGAAATAAAAAAATTAACTCGCGTGAATAAATGAAGAGTGACGAAAAAGTGCAGTTAATATTATTCTACTTTCTATAAAAATTGGGTGTTCGTATTTTTAATTTTAATTTAAACAGGTAGCTACTTTATTTGCGGATTTTTTCCTATCAGCGCCAACGCAAAACGTCCGGTAGTTCACCCAGCATGTTAAAATATACATATCCAGTGCGGCCGGATAGTAATGTCAAATTCCGAAATTTGCACAAGATTGTTAAGCATTCGCAAACCGGCACTAACTCATGACGTATACTTCCAAATAACAATAATGACCAATCTTTGGTGTATGTAGAACTTAAAAGAGAACTAATATTTGTTTAGAAAAATCTAATTTTCTAAAGAATACTTAGTGTGCACAGACGGGAAAACGACTATAAATTAGACAAACAAACGTAGATATAATCCTCAGTTGAAATCCTAACTTCATCCTTTTCTTCATATCAAACGAAAAATTTTTTGGTCAAATTCTTTTATACATATTTGGGGTTTCAGATTATAATTAGTTTCAGATGGCCTGTAAATTCCGATAAATTTACGAACTTTTCATTGTTTTCCCGCTTCCATTCACAAATATAACCATAAATCTTAGTTTATGTCAAAGCT